GATTGCAACCGTGAGAACTTCTAAAATACACAAGATAGTACTAATTTTTACGGAACCACACTTATAATTTAACACTTCATAATAACAAATAGTTCTTGAACCTAGAAATTAGGCCAAATACATAGACAAGCCCTTAAACTTGCTACTATTTTTCACTTAGGCACTTTAACCGAATCTATTACCTAATAGACATTTTAACTGTGTACAAAATGTGCCAATTGAACACCTCCCTAATGATCTCTAACAAGAATAAAGCGCGTGACATTTACACTCGGCGATGTGGCAATAACACCGAACTAAAAGAGGACACGTTGCTATTTTGATATATTTAATTTTTTTCTTCCCATACTTTCTCTTTTTTCTCCGATTAGAACTCTCCATTCTTTTTAACGATTAAAACTCTCCATTAACAAACCTTCAAACTTATGCCTCCGGTTTGGAATCTGACAAAAAGAACTTTTTTGACAAAGTCGCGCGGTGATAGAGACATGGATGGAGTTTCACAAATTCAAACACGACCATCAATGGTGAGTCGCTGGACAGATCAACGGACTAGCACGACACCCGCAGTCATCAAGAGGTTTGTCTTAGTTGCAATGTAACAATAGAAAGTTGCCGAAGACCGTTATACAAACCACCAAAAGTCAAGAAGTCACCGAGATACAACCATCTTTTAAGGAGGAAGGATCTGGGTTTCCGAACAAAAATGAGAAACACAACAAAGACTAATTTAGCTCCAGCTGCAAATAAACTTAAAATACATACAAGGAAGTAGGTATAGAAGAAATTATTGCTACTTTTGGTTGAGAGGGTTTCTGATCTCTTACAGACGAATGATACTACGTAGTTATATCATTAGAAACCAAAATAGTTTGAACTTCAAAAATGGCATGCGTCTGTAATCAAAGAAGTATATATATTGAACATAGTTTATACAATGCATTGGGTATATGAAGTTCTAATTTGTTGTAGGTTATGGGTCCACAAAGCCTGAGAATATTTCAATTACAAGGTTTGCTGCAATAGAGGTCACTGGCAACGAAGAAGAGAGAAGAAGAAAGAAATTCTTTTAAATATTTTAGTTAATCACGTGCTCAAGAGCAAGTGTAAATCACTCTCTGTGCCACCACATCATGAGGTGTTCAATTGGCACATTTTATACACAGTTAAAGTGTCCAATAGGTAATAGACCCGGTTAAAGTGTCTAAGTAAAAAATAATAACAAGTTTAAGGGCCTGTCTATGTATTTGGCCTAGAAATTATATGCGACAACAAATAAATAAAAGTTACAGTATAGTATAATTAACATACGTGCTTCTCTTAATATTGTTTCTATGATGATTTAAAAATAATTAACACGACTAGGTAACAATATTCATGCTCTGATGCCATTTTTAATTAAAAATACAGTAAGAACAGGAATTAGAAATCATGTACCTGTTACACAGCGGAGTAAAATCACAACCTAAAAAAGTTGCCCCTAAGTCTAGCTTTTATTCTCTTGAAAAATAAAGTTTAGTTCCACAAACTAAATGCTTTTCTTTATGCGTGTTTTTCTAAAAAAAGAAGAGAAATATTCTAAGTTAAGGAAGATAAAGATTAATGAGGAAGGTAGAGTAATTTCTTTTTGTTGTTCGTTCTTATCCATACGAAGAAGAAGAAGAAGAGCAAAATTCAGCTATACCTAAATGTACAATAACTTGTCCAAAGAAGTTATTTTATTTCCCAAATTCTAGCTCTTTCCAAATGGATTGGATCAACCTAGATAGAGCGACCCGATATGCGAATTCAATACCCAACCAAAAAGAATATTGTCCGACTAAAAATATTTTTCATACCATAATTCAGGATGTAAATTAGCCTTTTCAAAAAAATAATTGTAGTAGGTGTTGAGTAATCTTCGTGTGATATAAATACAAATGAATTACATCATAAAGATTGACATTTAAACTCTGCAGGAGGAGGAAATATCTCACATGTCGTGTGGAAGCTTTGGCAATCAACAATGCTTTGGCGACATTAATGGGAATTGAGTGCCAAAGAATTTCAACTTTTCTACGTGTTCCTTTAACTCAAAATATTGGAAACTTTAACCAGAAATCGATGGGAAACAAGATATAACATCTGGAAAAGGCTGTGATGATTAAGAGGGTGTTTGACTAAGTTTATAAGCTGGTCAAATTAGCTTATAAGCACTTTTCTGCTTATCTACGTGTTTGGTAAAGTTAATAGTGCTTATAAGCCAAGTGCTTATCTATACTATATTAAAAGCACGAAGCCCCTTAGTGAAATGTCGTTCGCCTTTTTTACCCTTTAAAAGTAGATTTCACATTGGATAAAATAGTCATTTAATTAATTCCCTAATATTTAGAACTTTAAAATTGACTAGAATTCTAATTATTAATCTTTCCTTATTTGAGGTAGATAAGAACTTCTAAATTTTAGGGCTTTAAATCAATTGGTATTTTACCATACATAAATTCTTTCTGTGTTTGAACTCTATAAAATACTTATAAATAAAAAAAAGTAAACTAATATGTGTGTTTTAATGATATTAAAGTAATTAATAGATCATACAACATTTATGCCTAATATTTAAAAGTTCACGTATTTAGAACTTTAAATAAGTAATATAAATTTTCCATGTTTAGTTCTTGTAGAAGTTGAAAAATGTCAACCACGAAAGATGAGTAAAAGTACTATTTTTGCAAATTTTGTTCTTGTAAAAGTTATAAAAAATTCAACCACGAGATCTTGAACTATATAACAAGAAAACTTTATCATGGATAAAAGGTGCAAATTTATGTGTAAAATAATGGTTAATACTTTAAAAGTTATCCCTTTCTTGCACCTAATTTTTTTTATTAAATATAACTTTAAAACCGTTTAATATTTTTTTATCTTACATAATTATTTTTTTATTTGAATAATGTGATGTAATCATAATTCTTTTCATGTTATTATATGTGAAATATAATAGTTCATATTATATTTGAACTACTTTTCTCTCCAAACAATATTTTTCTATTTAGTAAATTTTTATGTATAATATCTTTAAAATTACACTTAATAATTAAAACAAATGGCATATAATATTTGAAAATATAGAAGATAAACAGAGAGGAGGCGGGAGAGAGAGACTAGAATAGTAGTATTTGGTAACACTCATGATTCTGCAAACACAAATATCCAAAAATAAAAAATAACAAAGTAACCCTTATTGAGATGACGAGCCAATATCAAGAATTTGAATCAATAAAAAATAAATTATTTCCTTATTGAGAACAAAAATTTAAGTATTTGAATTAACTAATTAACAAAATAACGCCAGCCAATTCTTTTCTAAATAGAAAAAAATCAAGTTGAAAAAAACTATTAGAGTACACAAAGTTGGTTTTAAAAAAAAAAACGCAATTTGTGGTTAAAGACAATCAAACAAATAAAAACAAGAATACGATGATGTACTATTAAGTAGCCAAACTTAAAATAAATAACAAACTTAGTAAGTAATAAGGAATGAAACAAATAGAATATAATTATTTATTTTCTATTATTTTTCTTCTCCTTTTGTCTTTGTTTACAATAGATGACAGCTCCATATATCTTTGTACATTATCGTTAGAGAATTATTGTCAATTTTATTTTCTTGATCAAGACGTTAACGCTCACCATATCTCTCTTCAATCATGATAAATATTATGAGAATTCTTTTATTTTTTAAAATACTTTTATCGTGCCTTTGTAAGTTTAGAATATATTGGATGTAATTAATATGTCAAGGTATAACATTATTTTTTTTAGCATTTAAGAAATTGTTGCACCTATTTTAGCTGCTATTTTCAATAATTTGTTCTTATGTATTCTCTTTTTGTCATATTATCTGTTATGTTTCTCTTTTACCCGCCCCTTAAGAAACATACTTAGGTGGGGATTGGAGTATGTTACCCTTATTTATGTCTTAAAATATAGTCTCTCTTCATGAAATATTTTTTTATTTATGTGTTATCTTCCATCGCAAGAATAATTATTATTAAGGGTAAAATGAAAAAATATAATTTATTTTATCTTGAACTTCTAAAATGACAAATAATTTGAGACAATTATTCTTAGAAAGCACGACAAATAATTTGAGATGGAGGTAGTATATTTTTATTGATTAGCGCAAGCCACACGTGCAACGCACGTACACAAAAACTAGTAAGTCAAAAATAAGCCAAAAGCCATAAGCTGGTCACCCCCAGCTTATGAATTTTTAGCTTATAAGCACTTTAAGTTTGACCAAAATTTTTACTATTTTATCCTTAAAATATTCCTTTTTAAAATAAAATTCCTTCATCGATACTCACAGTCCGAAGTATTTTTTTCAACCTACCCCTACCCCCCCCCCCAACCTCTTCAAAAAATGCAATTCTCATTGACTATTTAAGATAAGCAAATTCTCTATTTCTTTGCATATTTATATCTATGTGATTGTATATTAATCTTTGAACTGTATGTAACATATGAGGACATATCAAATTTTTGGTGTATTATTTTCTTAGTGTTGCGGTGATGAAGACAGTGTTTGTTTCTCTTCAAATATTTTGTCCTATTTTTATTTTTTACTGAGAAACTTTTGTCAATCTATTAATTATTATAACTTATGATTATATGTGTATCATAAAATAAATTATATTTATCATAAAAATTATCTTATCTAAGCACAGTTATATTTAAAATAAAACAACAAATAGAATATTTTGTATTTGAATCGATCTTGAATCTAAAATTTTAAAGAAATTATGTCCTTATAAGTGTAAACAGTTCTAAGGTTATTTAAGTCATTTTAACAGAAAAAGAGCTTATCAGCACTTTTTTATCAAATACTGCAGCTACTTATCATCAATTTCAGCACTTGTACCCAAACATTTAACTGCTTATTTATTAAATCAGTTTCAACACTTAAAAATATTTTTGGGCATTTAATGCTTATCAGCTACTCCAAATCAGCTATTCAAACGGGCTCTAAATATGCCTAACTTCTCCAACTTCTTTTTGTCCTCTTATTAGCGGCTATGATGATTATGTCTAGAGTTGGGTCGGCATTGGAGTGGCCCGTATCTTGGCGGGGCGACCCGGAATTCATCTATGTGATGCAACTGTGCTCTGCAGCCATGGCGATCCTTGTCTCCGTTGCCTTATCATTCGAGCCTCTCGAAAAACTGCTATATTACCCTCTGAATTAGATTAGCCCGGAAATGAAGAGAATGAGGCGACAGAGAGAGTATGGGATTTTTTTTTCAAGGGTGGTTGCCCCTCTCTGCTGTGTCTATGATTCTCCTTTTTTGTAACAAACCAACAGCCCTTAAAAAGGAAAGAGAGAAAGATAGATGATAACACTTCAGTTTCTGGATTTGTTTGCAGTTTGCATATTATTCAAAGGCCCAATACACACACAACTATACTACAACAACTACGGGACCTTCAGATCTTAATGAGGCAGTGATGATGATTTTTTTCTATATCTGGGGTAACTAATTCAGGCATGGAGATTATCCGACCCGTATCTTGGCGTGGCAACCGGTATGGTCTGTGATTGGGACTCTTCTCACTCACATGCAACTGGTTTTTTGCAGCCATGGCGTGGTTGCCTTCTCTTTTGCCTTTGTCATAAACACATATCTGAGCCTCAATTTGGTAAAGAAAATATCAATCTTTTAGATTTTATTGATGTGGGATATATCGAACCCACGCCCTTTTAAGTTCTAATGCTTTTTTGAGCTGTGAAATATAGCCATTGTTTTCTATCAGTAGCAGCTCAAGAATGAGGCATTAGAGTGAAATGTGGGATTTTTTTGTAACTGTGGTTGCCCTCCTTCTCCGGTAAGCCCGTGATTTTTTATTTTTTATTTTAAATTTTGCTTTTATGCCAGCTACCATGTTGGTATTTTCTCCTAATTTTTTTTTAAGATAATGGCATCCGGGCTAGCTTGGGCGCACCTCGAATATTCGACCCGAGTATGTATCAGGTAACTCTGCCCACCAAGACTTGGGCAGATAAAAGAATCACAAGTGTTTTTTTTGCCTCTGCTCGGATTTGAACCTGAGACCTCATGGTCTCTGACCACTTCATTGACCATTACGCCACAATGCATATTTTCCAAAATTATGAATTTTTGTTGAAGGATATTATGCTTCCCATGTGATAATAGCTGGATGTTGTGATGGTATACTTGGTTGTGTTAAACAGAAAGTACTGATTAATTACCAAAAAAGAAAAACTTAGCTCAGAGTCTCGTAATGCGAGGTCAATGTTGACTTAAGGTTTATTAGAATAGGCCAAAAAGGAGAGAATGAGGTACCAAAGAGACGGGATTTCTATCAAAGGTAGTTGCCTAACTCTGCATTACAAATGTTTCTCGAGGTTTCAAAGAGCATTAGCAGTTAAAGAGAAAGAAAGAAAACTAAATCAGTTTCTGGGAGTTTTGTCTGCGACTTCGTTTATGTCTGCTGATCTATTGGTTCCTTGTTTCTGCTGTGTCCTTATTCTTTGCTGTCTTGGCTTCGAGATTCTTCTTAGAAGCTATTGGGGAATGCAGCTGATGCTTAAAATAAAAATATGTGATTGGCAGGTGAAAAAGGGTTGTAATGATACTTCTAGCTCTTTCTTTTTCTTTTCTTGTGCTTAATCAGTGAGCATGAAAACTACCTAGCTGTATCTTGGCTTGGCATCTCAGTATGGCCTGCAATTGAGAATCTTCTCTCTTGCATGCGACCATTGTTAGCAGCCATGGGGTGTCTGGCTTCTCTCTGCCTGATGATAACATGGATCTGAGCCTCAATGTCAATATCAACCAGTTGTGCCTCATTCCCAAGTCAGTTGGGACCGGCTATGCGAATCCTCTGTATCCATTTTGGTATATTTAGGTACATCTCATTCAACTAGTATATAATATGTCTTTTAAGACAAAAATATATAATATGAAATAAGAAGAAATAATTGAATTATATCGTGAAAAGTAAAACAAGAAATGACCTTATAAAAAAGTATATGATACAAAATAATCAATTCTAGAAAAGGTAATACACTAAATTAGTTGCCTACTTGCCTCAATGACATTCGAGACTTTGCCCTTATATTTGTCTGATCCTCTTGTTTTTTTAAATTGGCAGGTGCTTTTGCATTATTTCTACACCATAAACAGAAACTAGATTCTCAACTCAAGAACAAGAATGAGACTGCATACGGATGGAAAGTTTTTAGGGGTGTTGCCTTCCATCTGCATGCCCGTGATATCTCTGTATTCTGCTACTGCCAGAGCAACAGCCCTTCTTTCATGCTTAGCTGGCGCTCTAATGGTTGGTTATTCGCAATCTGCTCTATTTCTCACGCTATTTGCTTCTCTTTCTTGGTCATTGTCATTTCCTTTTCACAAATCTCAATCAGTATGAGAATTATTGCTGTTGCTTATCTGTAGGTTGTGATGATAAAGCAGCTTGATTTCATTGTATTTGGGTCTGCTGGACCTGTATCTTGGCAGTGGAAACCAGGATGACTTAAGCAGAGTCTTATTTCTCTAGCAAGCATTCTTGTTTGCAGCCATGGCGGTGTCCCTTTACCTGATCTTATGACAGATCTGATCCTACGTATATACTCATATTAGTTTCACTTCATAGATAGATATCTAAAAATAGATGGAAATAACTTTTAGATATGCCCGGAGAAAGAGAAGGACAATGGTGAAAAAAGTGAAAACTACTTTCCCTTGTGATGAAAAAGGAAGGTTAGATACTTAAAGGCAGACTTACATGGGCCTTTAAAAGTTCTCTTCTTGAACTAGCTCAGAAATTGCAAGAATGAGGCAAGAGAGAGTATGAGATTTCTTTCGAGGGTGGTTGCCCCTCTTTCAATATCTGGTTTTCTGGATGACCATTTGGGAAATTTCCCCAATATACAAGTATACCACAACAACTACCTTCAGATGTTCAGTCTGTCCTCATGGCCCTTTGCGGTTTCTTCCAGTTTACTCTCATCGTCTCATTGTTAATGGGAACTGGAAAGTGTTACATTATGATGCATTCTACTACAGAAAGGGGCTGTGATGATGCTTATAAATCTTTCTATTTCTGGGCTGATCATTGAGTCTTTGAGATGACCGGACTTGTATCTTGGCATGGCAACCCGGTATGGCATGTGATTGAAAACTCCTCTCTCTCTCTCTCTCTCTCTCTCTCTCTCTCTCTCTCTCTCTCTCTCTCTCTCTCTCTCTCTCTCTCTCATGCAACCGGTGTTTTGCAGCCATGGTGTGGCAGGCTTCTCTTTTGCCTTATCATAATACACATCTGAGCCTCAATTTGCTGAAGATCATAGGTAGGCATTTGGACAATATTTGAGTTGAATTTGCGAAGTTCTCTTGAGTGCAGACTTGTGAGGTCTCTTCGGTTAAAAGCTCTTATCTAAGCGAATTCCCGTTATTAGATTAGCCTAGAAATGGTGAGAATGAGGCAACTGAGAGTATGGGATTTTTTACAAAGGGTGGTTGCCCCTCTCTGCTGTTTCAATGATACTCCACTTTTCTTTGCATTTTTTGCACCCTTAACGTATACTCAAACCCCAGTACCCAACTATACTGTAACAACTACGCGACCTTCAGATCTTCCGCCTGAGTCCTTCATGGCTTTGAAAACCCTTAAAGAGGCAGTGATGATGATTTATTTTCTATACCTGGGCTAACTGATTGGGGCATGGAAATTACCCAAACCGTATCTTGGCGTGGCAACCCGGTATGGCATGTGATTGAGTCTCCTCTCTCTCACATGCAACTGGTGTTCTGCAGCCATGGCGTGGTTGGGTTCTCTTTTGCTTTATCATAACACATATCTGAGCCTCAATTTGCTAAAGAAAATATACCATTTCCATGTATTGATGCAGGAGATATTGAACCCTCGTCCTTTTTATTAGAAGTTATAATGCTTTTCACTCGTAATGTTTTTGTCGTCCTCCAGTAAGCCCATGATTTAAATAGCAGCCTTAAATGATCCGATTTTTGCAAATCACCCAGCGAATTCCCTTTGTTAGATTACCCCAAAATAGTGAGGAAAGGCAACAGAGAGTGTGGGATTTCTTTCAAGGGTGGTTGCCCCTCTCTGCTTAGCCTATGATTCTCCATTTTTTAACAAACCAACAGCCCTTAAAAAAGAAAGAGAGAATTTCAGTTTCGGGTTCTTGCATTTGCACCCTAATGCATACTCAAAACACGAACATACAACTATACTACAATAACTACACGACCTTTAGATCTTCACTCTGTCTCCTCATGGCTTTGAGAACTCTTAGAGAGGCAGTGATGATGTTTCTCGTATCCGAGCTAACTGATTCGGGCGTGGAGATTACCCCACCTGTATCTTGGCGTGGCAACCTGGTATGGCCTGTGATTGAGACTGTTCTCACATGCAACCAGTGGTCTGCAGCCCTGAGTGGATGGGTTCTCTTTGCCTCAATGTGCTAAAGATAATATATCTTTTCCAAGATTCAATGTGGGAGATATCGAACCCATGCCCTTTTGATTACAAGTTATAATGCATTTTTCACTGCTTATGTATTCCATTTTTATGGTCAGTATCAGGCTATCAGCTCAAGAATGAGGCATTAGAGTGATTTGTGGGAATTTTGTAACGGTGGTTGACCTCCTTCTCTAGTAAGCCCATGATTTCCTTTTCTTTTTTTATTAATACCAGCTACCATGTTCATATTTATCTCCCCATAATAAAGAATGTACTAAAGGATATATGTTTCCCTGTATGAGAATCAAACAACTGTTCTCCAACTTTCTGCCGTAAATTCTTGCCAGTGAACATCTTCCTTCTATGTGACTTCCTATTTGCATCCCATATGATAATAGCTGGAAGTCATGACCGATACTAGTTTGTCTTAAACAGTATTATCAATTTTCTGAAATTTAAATATTTAATTACAAAAAAAAGAAAAAAGAACTTGCTTGAGTCTGCTAATGGCAGGTCATTGTTGACTGAAAGCCTGTTAGAACAGCCCAAAAAAAGTAGAGAATGTTACCGAATGAGGTAACAGACAGAAGGGGGGGGGGGGGGGGGGGGCTCTTCTTCCAGAGATGGTTGCCTCTCTCTGCTTTACCAATGAGTCCCAGAAAACATCAGCCTTAAAAGAGATAAAGAAGGAATTCTTCATCTTCTCTTCTTTTTTTTTTTTTTGGGGGGGGGGGGGGGGGGTTGGTTTCGTTCTGGCTTTGACTTTGTTTATGTCCCTATTGGTCCCTTGTTCATATCTTCTGGCCTCCTTCGCCATTAGGCGTTTTTTGGGTATTCAATATGAGCTTAGTCCAAAATTTCCACTATTTCTTGGAAGTATGGAAAAGAATCACCAGTTCTGAAAGAGGCAGTGATGCCTGCTTATCTGGGTCAAACCATTTGGGCATAGAGAAAATCCGACCAGTATCTTGGCTTGACAAACACCGTAATGGGCTGTGATTTGAGGCATCCCTTTCACATGCAATCGGTGTTTTTGCAGCCATGGCATGGTCTCCTTCTCTTTGCCTCATTAGGAACTCAGATCTGAGCCTCATTTCCAATTAGTCCAACTGGACAGCTCGGGATCGAACACGAGACCTTCGTTGACTGTAACCCATTTTGTCCTGTTTCAGCAGCTCAAAGAACGAGAGATCAGAGAGAAATGGAGATTTTCGCTTCTTTTGGCAAGAAAATCAACACCACCCTTTTTAAGGCAACCATTGATTAGTTTTCAATGGAAGGCCATTCTCTGAACTGGGGATTCTTCAGCTTTCTGTGTTAGACTGACGTGATAACCAGCTAGACTACCACTTCATTTCAGCTCAAAGAATGAGGCTCAGGGAGATGATTCTCAGAGTGGATGACCATCTCCGACATGCTGACGTTTGTGCATATGCATGTTTCTTTTGTATATGTGGCATTGTGCGTGCGTTTCGGTTGTCTTAATTTTGTCCTCACTGGCTGTATTGGGATGCAATGCGAACAAAGTAACACGTCCATAAAATCAAATAGGGGAAACAATGGGGCTATGATGATAATATTTGTTGAGCTAATTGAATTCGGGCATTGGAATTTTGCTGGCTGTATCTTGGCGGGGCAACTTGAATTTCTGGGGTTTGCAGCCATGGCAGGTGCAGAGAACTCAATGCCCCACATAATCTGAGCCTCCAGTTTAACAGAAGCCTTAGCATCATTTCCCCATTATCAATGAGGCCAACAGGGGAGAAAGGGACTTTTTTGAGGCCTGTGATTTCTCTATTAGCAAAATCAACAGCCCTCTTCTAGTCCTCTTATCAGCAGCAGCAACAGTAGTACTTGGACCTTGTTCTGATTTATGAGCTTAGTCCAAAGCACCCTAAATTCCTCGAAACCTATGCTACCATTTTCTCAAAGAGGCAGTGATGATATTTGCTTATCTGGCAAAAGAATTATTCCTGCATTGAGACAAGCAGATCCATATTTGGCTTGGCAAACCCTGGATGGTATGTGATTGGAGGCTTCTCTGTCACATGCAACTGGTTTTTTTGCAGCCACGGCGTGGTCTCCTCTTTTTGCCCAATTAGTAACCCAACTCTGAGCCTCAAAATTTCAGTTTGTCCTTCTGGACGTTGTTAGATGAAAACCCTTTTTCATTTTCTTGTCATATCCAGCTCAGAAATGAGGCATCATTGAGAAATGGGAATTATTTATTTGTTCATTCATTCGTTTAGTTATGCTGGTAAGGCCAAGATTTCTTGCTGGAAGAGATTAACAGTGGTTTGCTCTTTTCTGCAACTCCAGCTTCGGAAGATGCACGTTGTTGATTTGTTGCTGCTACTGCTACTGATTCTCTTGTCTTGGTGCGACGTGGCTGCATTAACACCTTAACAGCGAGAATCATACTAGAAATAAAGAAAAAGGTGAAAAATTGAGGCAGCGCTTTTGGTAAATAGCATTATTAATTTGCATTGAGATGATACAAGACTCAGTATCTTGGCGGGCAATCTGGAGAAGGTTGCAGCCAATAATAGAGAAATCTGAGCCTTGGTATTAAGCATTACTAGTAGTTTCTATCTATTTATTCGTTATTGTTTCCCTTTTTTCAAGATTGCTAAGAGAGTTGCAATTTTCTTTTGACATATTTTCCGTGTCTTTGTAAGTATTGCTCGTTTTTTGTAAACAAAAATTCTGTTCTAAAAGAGGCAAGAGATGTGGAAATACAGCGATTATAAATCACTCTCCAGCCAATGGATACCAGATTTTTGTTGTTTCATGCCCGTATTTTTCAATTTCATAGTATTAGAGATTATTTTATACAAAAAACTATGGAGATAATCCCACACAAATGCTTGATTTTCGCTGCAGAAACATATCTGACGTACAAATTTTATAAGCCTAACCTACTTGTGTGGAATGTCATTATGTTCTATTGTATGGTTTTTGCATAGATCCATTTTTATTGCTATTTTGGTCTTTTGCTAGTGAACAATGGTACTCTATTAACAATGTTTATATGCTTTTGTGGTTGTTGCTGTCTCTTGGAATGTTGTTTCTGCTGGAATGTTTAGCCATTTTCTGTTTGGAAAGGAATAAAAACAAAGGGAAAGAAATTACTCTAACTGTTTTCATTAATAATTATAGTATTTCTAAATTTTCAAATGTGTGGGGCAGTGAGGCCATATGTGTAATTGAAATTTTTTTATTATTGAATGAAAAATCTAGCGGCAAATATATTTCTAAGCATACATGATAGAATGAGAACCCACCTGCACATTGTTTGATAGAACGGTGTACAGACTATCAAAGAAAGTGTTTTTATCATTAATGTCATGATCCAAATTTCATATTAGGCCGTAATGGCACCAAACACCGTTGTTAGGCAAGTCAACACTAATCAATAGTGAATCCTCTTTTAAATAATTAGTACGTGAAAATCTTTCCTTATTGATAAAGAAATTAGGAGTTTGAAATTTAAGCATAAATAGATGGGAGTAATATACGAACTTAAATCATGGTAGGAAATCAAAAATCATAAGTCTACCAATGTGTGTTCCAAGACCTGGTGTCACAAGTATGTGGGCAATCTAGTAGAATATACAAAACAATACTATCCTACTGTCTGGAAAGGAAATAGACAGGAAAAATAAAGACATAGACAGACTCTAGTTGCTGGAGAACGGCTCAAAAGGGCAGCTCACCGGAAAGTCTCAAGCTGAGGAGTCCAATCTACGCGCCGGACCGATGGTCAGATGCACCTGCCTCAAAGCTTGTACAATCAAGTACATTAGTGTAGCGTGAGTACATAAAAATATGTACACAATAAGTATCTCGCCTAACCTCGCAGAGTAGTGACGAGGGGTCGACTACGACACTTACTAGGGCCAACAATATAATAATGTGAAGTTTCAATTCTTAAAGCATAATGTATATAGATAACAGTCAAGCTCAAACAAGAACAATAACCGAGGAATTTCCTCCATCATATTTAAGAAGGCAAGACACTTTCTTTATTTAAAACAAGTGGCATATCAAGCAATGAAACATACAACTACAAAAGAGTTCTCATCCTATTATCACACACAATTACCACCGAGGGCGTTCGGTCTGATCCAACATAAAAGTAAACTGTGCACTGCCGAGGGTCGAACGGCGCGAACCATAGATGCATCTATTCAACCCGCTCACGAATCATACATGCGACGCGGTAAAAGCATAACCCCGCTCGTGAATCATACGTGCGACGTAGTCAAACATAATTTTCATCATTTAAATCACAACCCTTCTTTGATTCTTTTTCAAAATGAAGACAATTCACTTGAAGCCTTTAAATCCTTAGATTTTCTTCAACTTAATTACTTTCATACAATTAACACATATAATCAAATAGTAGCGTCCACGAAGCATGGTGTAAACCTAGAACTACCCGGACAATAACAAAAATAGTAGCTACGTACGGACTCTCGTCACTTTGTACGTACATAGCCCCCAATAACCACATATTAATTAAGTTCATCTATGGGAAAATTTCTCTCTTACAAGGTTAGAAAAGAGACTCACCTCGTTTCGAGCCTACTTCCAACTCAAGAATGCGCTCAAATCCTCAAACCGGAGCCGCACAATTCGAAACTATTCAAATAGTGTAAAAACCAATCATTATAGGTTTACAAGTTCATATTCTAGCTATTAAAGTGATTATCCAACCCCAAAAACAAGATTCCTAAAATTTATCCCCGGGCCCACGTGCCCGGATTCTAGAAATTTTCGAAGGAAGTTGTTACCCATAACCTAAGGGTCAAGAATATATAATTTTTACTTCATTTCATACCGAATTTCGTGACTAAATCTTGTTTTTATCAAAGACCTAGGTTTTACTCTAATCCCATGATTTTCACTAATCTTTACATGTTAATCTACCCAAAATCCAAGTATTTAACTCACATATAGTAGGAATTACTTACCTCCAGAAGCTTGGTGAAAAACCTCTCAAGAAGCTCAAAAATCGCCCAACAATGGTGTGAAATGAGCCAAAAACGTGGCCCGTATTAAATGAAGTCTACTGCCTTCAGTGATTTCCGCATCTGCGGTCCTGGGCCGCACCTGTGACCCTGCATCTGCGGACAATGGTCCGCTTCTGCGGAATTTCACTGGGTCGGCTGGGGCTGCTTCTGCGGAGGACAAACCGCTTCTGCGGAGAAAGGGCCGCTTCTGCAATTTCTGGTCCGGCCACCCTTGACCGCATCTGCGAGTTAAGGCCCGCACCTGCGGCTGACCAACCACAGGTGCGGTTATGACAGAAGCTGGGCATTCAGTTCTTGCCCAAAATTTCCAACTTGGTCCGAGCCTCATCCGGTTGACGCTCGGGGCCCCCGGTGCCCCGCCCGAATACACCCACAAGTTTGAAATGATAAAACGGACTTGCTCAAACCATCGGAATGCCTGAAACAACATTTGAACTAGGAATCACACCCTAAAGCCAATTGATTCAAACTTATGAACTTCAAGTTCTTCAATTTACTTCCAATGTGACAAAACACACTTATACTACTCGAATTAACATCAAATTTTGCGTGCAAGTCTTAAATGACATTACGAAAATATTCCCGGTCTCGGAATCCCGTTAGGACCTCGATATCATCAAAATCCGCTCTAAACCAAATTTAAAGAACTTCCAAAACCCTTCAAGAACCAACTTTCACTATTATGCGCCAAAACGCTCCCGTGTCATCCAAAACCCAATCCGAACATACGCTCAAGTGCGAAATCATCATACGAACCTATTGGAACCGTCAAACCTCGATTCCAAGGTCGTTTACTCAAAATGTTGACCGAAGTCAAACTTGGCCTTTCAGGCCAACCTCAAGGAACCAAGTGTTCCGATTTCAATCCAAACTCTTCCAAATCCCGAACTAACCATCCCCGCAAGTCATAAATCAGTAAAAGCAAGTATGGGGAGTCTTATTTAGGGGAACGGGGTTATAGAAAGCAAAATGATCAGTCGGGCCATTACATTCTCCACCTCTTAAATAAACGTTCGTACTCGAACGATTTAGATTCATACCTGAAGTGGTAAATAAGTGTGGATATTTGCTCCGCATGTCCTCCTTGGACTCCTAGGTCGCCTCCTCGACTGGTTGGCCCCTCCACAACCTTTACCGCGGAGATCCTCTTGGATCTCAACTGGCTATCCTGCCTATCAACAATAGCAATTGGCTCCTCCTCATAACCCAAGCTCTCATCTAGCTGGATAGTGCTGAAGTCTAACACATGAGACTAGTCGGCGTGGTACCTCCGGAGCATAGACACGTGAAAAATCGGATGAACTCCCGATAGGCTGGGGGGTAAAGCAAGCTCATAAGCAACCTCCCCAACTCGCCTCAACACCTCAAATGGGCCTATAAACCTGGGGCTCAACTTGCCTTTCTTACCAAATCTCATAATATCCTTCATCGGCGAGACTTTCAAGAGAACCTTCTCGCCGACCATGAATGATACATCCCGCACCTTCTGATCCGCATAACTCTTCTGCTTGGACTGTGCTGTGCGAAGTATCTCCTGAATCAACTTTACCTTTTTCCAAGGCATCTTTCACCAAGTCAGTACCGTACAACTTAGCCTTGCCAGGCTCAAACCACCCCATAGGAGAACGACATCGCCGACCATATAAATCCTCAAATGGAGCCATCTCGATGCTGGACTAATAACTGTTGTTGTAAGCAAACTCGGCCAAAGGCAAGAACTGATCCCACTGCCCTCAAAAGTCAATCACACATGCTCTAAGCATGTCCTCCAGAATCAGAACTGTCCGCTCCGATTGTCCGTCAGTCTACGGATGAAATGTTGTGCTGAGCTCGACACGGGTCCCCAACTCACTCTGTACAGCTCTCTAGAAATGCGAAGTAAACTGAGGGCCCCTATCTGATATGATGGAAACGAACACACCGTGCAACCGTTATCTCCCGAACATAAATCTGGGCCAACCTCTCTGAAGTATAGGTAGTCACAACTGGAATGAAGTGTGCCGACTTGGTCAACCTGTTGACAATGACCCAAACTGCATCAAACTTCCGCAAGGTCCGCGGCAACCGAACTTCGAAATCCATAGTAATGTGCTCCCATTTCCATTCAGGTATAGTCATCTGCTGAAGTAGACTACCTGTCCTCTGATGCTCATACTTGACCTGTTGGCAATTTAGGCATCTAGCTACATACTCCACTATGTCTTTCTACATTCGCCGCCACCAATAATGTTGCCTCAAGTCACGATACATCTTCGTAGCACCTGGATGAATAGAATACCGTGAACTATGTGCCTCCTCTAGAATCCTCTCCCTCAACCGATCGACATTTGGAACATAGGCGACCCTGGAGTCGCAGAATACCATCCTCGCCAATAGAAACCTCCTTGGCACTACCCTGTAGTACTATCTCTTTGAGAACTACCAAGTGCGGATCATCAAATTGCCGAGCCTTGATCTGCCCCAATAATGAAGACTGGGCAACAACACACGCAAGAACTCGATTGGGCACTGAAATATCCAACCTCACAAGTCGGTTAGCCAAGGACTGAATGTCCAAAGCTAGTGGCCTCTCCTCTGCTGAAATGAATGCCAAGCTACCCATACTCTCTGCTTTCTTGCTTAAGGCATCCGCGACCACATTTGCCTTGCCCGGATGACAAAGAATGGTGATGTCATAATCCTTCAGTAACTCAAGCCATCTACGCTGCCTCAAATTGAGATCCCTCTGCTTGAACAAATGCTGCAAGCTGCAATG